GACAGGCTTAATAAATTACGCAGATAGAGCCACGGATGAAAACAGTTACAAAAAAAACGCATTTCTTTAACTACATATTATTTTTAGGCTAACTCATGTTAATTAGCTTCATTAAGAGTTTTATTTTGCTTCTCTTTTCAAGTATATATGTAAATAGGACTTGTTAGAGATGCCTCGATGCTAACCGACAACATTTCTTAGTATCCCTTGTTAGTATATTTAACACGTGTGGTACGGTTCAAATAATATACATTATTCATATGTATGTACTCGTACTAACAATCATTTTAACAATTATTATATGTAGATTTCTCAGTGATGAGATATTTTTACCCAGTAAAAAGTATCCTATATGTTGACCCGGATAACTGGCTATCATCATACCAAATTTCATCAAAATCCCTCCAGTGGTTTTTCCGTGTTGCAGTCACAGACAGATAGACAGAAATTCTAAAAACTAAAGATTTGGCCTCTATATTGATAATAATGTCTAATTCAATAAGATTTTTCAAAAAATATTTAATGTACAGATTCGGCTCAGTTACAATTTTGTTATATGTAAATAGATGATACGGCTAAAAGTATTTAATATTTATGTTACGATCCTATCTTCGATGGACATACTTTGATTCGCAGATTTTGTTGAGTCACATGTTTTCAATTGGTAACAAGTTGTTACTAAGAAAAGAAAATTTTAATCAAAGTTTATTTTGTATAATATTTTAAATTTGAGGTAGAGTGTTTACTTATAGTTATTTTAACGTAAATGCTATAAGTATTTAGTTAACGACAAACCTTACTTTTTTTTGCAGAGATACATAATTTATCGGCCGATACCTCCTACTAACAATTGTATAAGTTTTCTTTTTACCTACTTTGAATATTCTTATTCTGAAGCAGTTAGAGTAAGAGCGAGCGCTGGTTACTATATGTAGTAAAAAAAATATCTTTTTTCTTTAGAAGCTACCTTATCAATACTAATATTATAAAGAGGTAAAGTTTGTGAGTTTGTGAATTGTGAGTTTGTGACGTTGTAGGGGGTAATCTCTGTATCTACTGAACCAATTTAGATGAAACTTCATAAGAAGATAGTATGAGACCCTGGGAAGGACATAGGATACTTTTTATCCAGGAAATCATCCCTTAAAGGGGCGTATTGAGAAGCAAGCTAGGGACGAACCCGAGCGAAGCGAGGGTGCGTCGCTAGTGTTTCATAATTATATTATTAGCGGAGCGGGAATAACCTATATGTCTATTTCGGTCCTCATTATTGATATATCTATATATGTCCTCACCAGAATCGAATCGAAATCTGTTCAAAATTTAGGCGTAAAAAAATAACAACCAGACAGACAGAGTTGCCTTCACATTTATTACATCATAATATAGTTTCTTACATGTTTATTATATAGTAACAACTATTATTTAAAATTATAATAAATAATAACAATTTTCTCCTTCTATTATACCATTATACAGCCACAGTGTTTATAACTTCAACACGAGATTGCGAAAACGCGTATAGCTTTCAATTATACGGTGTTCATGACAAGAACAACACGTACTTGCAACAAACACCGTATGATTCACATAAACATATTAATTGAATGGGCTGCAATAAAACTATGCAGCTTCAAGGCTATTTAAACAGGTCGAGATGATAAAATTATTACCTACTACATCATAATATGTACTTACGTATTAGATAAAAGATCTGTGTATATAGTACAACATAAGTCAGCCCTTTTGACGTCCAATTGTGGGATGATTTGATTATAACCCACCAAGCTGGTCAAATGCAGGTTAGCGTTAGGTGGTTTGCTTTACATATCTTCCGAAAACTAGTGCGAACGATATTTACCTTCATTTACATACTTTGATTAGGTTTGTATTAATTAATGATTATTGTAAGTTTTATAGCTTACTAGCTGCTCACATTCGCTTCGCTCGACTTCACCTTTAAAAACAAAAACAAATCTATCCCAGAGGAACCGTAGATTTTCCCGGGATAAAAAATAAAAAGTAGCCTATGTGTGTATTTCAGACTATAATCTATCTCTGTGGCAAATTTGGTCCAGATTCATTCAGCCGTTGTGACGTGATTGAGTAACAAACATCCATCCAAACATCTAAACTTTCACCTTTATAATATTAGTAAAATTATCGTAGACTAAACGATTTTACTTATTTATTTTAGTAATTTAAATACATTATAAAAAGTCAATCTTTTAGTGTTTTTGTACTGGTAAATAGAAAACTTTTATCTATTAAAATTTCTCCATTCTCAATTTTCCATAATAAGTAATAAAAATTTGATACTTTTTATTGTTTATTAAGAATTCCCAAAATAAACCTGAATCTGACGTGTTATTTTAAATAAAATATAAGTATTATGTGAATCTGACGTGATCAGTTAAAAACGGTATAGCGACTTTAAGGTCATATAGATGTAATTATCCCATATTTATTAAGTTGAAACAAATATCCGCTCCGCTCGGGTTCGTTCCTAGTTACATTTTAACGTTTAGTATAGATTTCTCAGAGATGAGACATTTTCCCGCAGTAAAAACTCTCCTATATGTTGATCCGGATAACCAGCTATCATCATACCAAATTTCATCAAAATCTGTCCAGTAGTTTTCTCGTGATGCGTTCCCAGACAGACAGACAAAAGTTCTAAGAACTAGATTCTACTTGGCCTCTGTATCGATAATAATGACTATTTCAAGAAGATTTTTCAAAAAAATATTTAAAATACAGATTCAACTCAGTTATAATCACAATACATGCCCAGGAGAAGTTATAATCAACACTACAATGTGACCTCTGAACTAAATAAAAATACAAAGAAAGTATAGATTATATGTTATAAATGTCTATTATTTACAAAACTACTCCAATACAAAGTTGACAACAAAAAAATCCATTGAATATTCCCAAAATAAGTTTCTTGACATCTCATCTCGAGTGTTATCATATTACGATGGAGTGACGTAATCTGACACAGCATCCGCACCTACTTTCGTACTTTGTAGCACGTGTCGATGATTTGAATTAACCGATTTTGACAAAAGAAGTCATTTTTTCTATTTAGTTAAAACTAAAGAGTTGAGGCATATCATTATTTTACCTAATATGGTGTTATAGTAACTTTTTTCTGGCACACTAGGTAGATGGTTATTAGCCATATCCTACATTTACTACCTTTAATTAATTTTATTTAAAAGGTTTCTGAGCTGATAAACTAAACAGAATATCGGAAAACAGTGTACATAAATCTAATACTTTCTTAGATTTACGCGAATATTTGACATTATAAATAAAACTATCTTTTCGAAAAGATAGTTTTATTTAAAATTATAAAATATTCGCATACGGGAGAGACCACGTGACCATGGATGCTGTAAAGCATTCGTCGGGAACCAAAAATAAAAATAAATCCGCGAAATAATCCGAAAAGATAGTTTAATTTAAAATATACATAGGTACAAAAACTTGATTGAAGCAAACTTAAGTACAAAAAGTTGTTTGACTAGTCGAGCTTTTTTCTGTAATAATTCTTAATTTGGTCTATTACAAGCTTCAATACATAGAAGAGCTTTAATAAAGAATAAAAGTCGCTGTAAAGGTTTAGATATTTAATAATTATTTATTATTCTCACTATTTTCATATTAAAATGCAAAAGCTCATTTGTGTGTTTGTCCTGTTTTTACTCAGCAAAGAAATTACTAAAAAATGTACCTAATACGTACATTGAGGTATTTTATGATTATTTATTTATTGATTTATTGGTTTTTGATACATATTTTTTTTAATTTAATGTACTGGATATTAGATTTAAAAAAATACAATAGGTATCTTATAGTGGCACAAAAATCTCATAATGACTTTTTAGACTAAATCTGTTAGCTTAATATTGATAGTTAAATTGTGAAATTACAAAGATCGCTATGTACGAGTATGTATATATGCCAGTGTATATCAGAAGGCTTAAACCTAAGTCTTGCAAACTGTTTACGACAGCGTAAAATTAATTTGAATTTCAACCACAAAGCACAAATACATTCTATAATTTAGTTAAAAGTTGTGTTTTATTGTGCGAACCTATCCCTTATATACAGGGAGCAAGGGTCACTCGACATGTTGACAGGTGTACGACCACCCGCGCTTATCAACGCTATCAGTTATCTGTAGATCCACAGCGTCCTAATTAGTGGACCCGTGCCGCTAGATAGTCGACAGTGTTGCATTTCTTCACAAAGATTTTGCTTTATCTGATATCTAAGGGTAATAAAGTAATACTAATATTTACGTGCGACATATTGCAATAAATATCGTACCCTATAACTGTATAGTATTATTTAATATCAAATTCTAAGCCTTATTAAATCAAAATATAACTTAACTTTATATATATTTAGCTTACAAAAAAAATATCGAAGTTTCGATACAACAATAAGGAAACTGTTTATGCATTGTAACTTTGCACGATTTTGCTTAAGAATGTGCTCCAATTCAGGTTTCATAACGGTTTCCCGGATATAGCCCGCGTATAAAACAAGTTTGACACATAATCGTCAATCGGAGCAAGTTGAAAAAGCGCATTTTTAGCATCCCAGGACCCAAGCGAGCCCGGAGCCCTAAGCTCAGCAGTGAATGAGACCGCGAGAGCCGCAGGGCGGAGGCACACTACAGGCAGTCGCCGCGACCAAGTCGGCGTGCACGCACGCTTATTAAAGCCAACTGGCGAGATTCTTAGCGTGCCGGCATTTCAATCGTATTCCATTCACAGCGATCCATTCAGTAAATTTGAATAAGCCCCTGATAAATCAAGTTCCGTAACGAGAAAAAACAATTTCTCCCGCTCATTTGAATATTATCGGTGTGTCTTAAAATTAATTGACAGTTATAAAATGTTAGTCTTCAATCAGTGCGCATGGCGATCGATCAATATATAGTGGTAGATATCAGTGCGTGAGATGACGTTAAGATAGCCAGCATGCGTTGGCTGGTGGTGGTGCTCGCTCTGGTCGCGCTGAGTGAGGCGGCTGGCCCCAGACGGTGTGCAGGGCGACTGGCCCGGGAGCGCCTCAAGGCAGCTGAAAAGATCCGGGATAAGAGATACTATCTCCTGTGTTGTGCCCCAAATTGCGGCCTCCAAAGGAGGACTAGACCTCCACCCACTACGAAGCGATACCAACCTTTCCACAAGACGTGGTACGGCTTGAAACATGGTACGATATTTTCTGTCAATCACTAATATTAACATTTTATCATATTGAGGTCAACATGAAATGGTAATTAGAAGATGCGTTTTGATTAATTATAATAGCTTTTGATTCATCAGAAATTTTCTCTCACTGATGCTATAAGTCTAAAGTTACAACACAATCGGCGAAATAAAACTTGGTGAAATAAGTTGTATAGAACATCACGTGGGTAATTCGAACGCCTTCTCAAATGCTGTCGTAAATTAGATCATTTAATGACTTGTGGGGAAACGTCCAATGGTAACGAAATCCCTTGAACGTAAACTGTCTTGTTTTATTGCCATATATGGAAATGTACTATTGCGGACATGGAATTAGATTGGTGCCTTTAGGTGCGTAATATATGTATGTACCTATTTAAATTCATGCCTTAAAATTGTTTTTCGATCTTAATTTTATTTGGCAATATTCTTTGCCTTTTTTGTGAAAAAAAAACAAATCGATATTATTTTGAAAATCCTACTTCCTACTAATATTTTAAATGCGAAAGTTTGTGTGGATGTATGAATGTCTGGATGTATAGATGTATGATATAGATTTTAATGAAACTTTACAATAATATAGCTCATACATCAGAATAACACATATTATAGCTACTTTTTATCCCGGAAAAAGGTACGGTTCCCGTGGGATAGATTTGATGATTGTTTGATATATCATTTGCCACGATAACTTATATACGTTGGACGTACTAGGCACAGCTATGAGGTTCATATTCTGCTGTGGTAGCGACCAAAATTGTTTTAAAAATTTTTTTTTCTCAAAAATTACTAGTTTGGTTATTTACAGTGATACTTTAATACTCTAACTCTTTCAAATCTTATTAAATAAAACTATATTTTCGGATTATTTCGCGGATTTATTTTGATTTTTGGTTCCCGACGTTTCGAATGCTTTACAGCATCCATGGTCACGGGAGAGACATCTTATCTTCCATAAAAATTAAACTTGTATGACATTGCTGCTGCCTTTGTCTATCTATCAAACTTCGGCAACTTCGATATCAGCTAGAAAGTATATATATTTTAATTCATATAAGACATTCTTTGTGCCATTTAAGACAATTTTAATTCATTCGTGGTATAATTTGATGCTATAAGTTGATGATCATTCGTGGCAGTGATTTGTGGGGTAATTACTGTCTACAAAAAAAAATGTGATTGATTTGAATGCTCCACTCAATTAACTACTCTGAACTGTGATGTTTTCATTTTGATTTAAGTATAAGAGTAAAAATGTATGAATATAATATAATGTATAGAAAATTTAAATAATACACATACGTATAATATATACTAATATTTTAAAGAGGAAAGTTTTTTGTTGGTTGTTTGTACCGATTTAGATGAAATTTGGTACTGATTTAGATGAAATTTGGTAAGAAGATAGTTTGAGTCCCTGGGAAGGACATAGGATAGTTTTTATCCCGGAAATCACTCATTATGAGGGTGAGAATGAGGATGAAAGTTTGTATGCAGAAGCAACCTAGGGAAGAAGTGCAGCAAAGCGAGTGTGAGTCGCTAGTAAATTATAAAGTTTGCAAAGACGTACAATGTACAAACATACATACATGCAAACTTATACATATTACATATGAACAATTTTTAAAGCTTCTTAATTTGTCTATTTTTAGAAAACGTGTTTTCTAAGAAAATAGTATTATTTAAAGTAGGTCATAATAGATTTAGAGGCTGTCGTTTCCTAAAAGCCTTTATTTCAAAGCTCGTGCTTAAACTTAATGGTTATGAACTAAATAATATGTCTATTAAATTATAATACGGTTAACAAATCAAAATATTTTTACTTGACACAAAAATATTGTATGTTGATGCTACGTAAATTTTATCTTACATTATTTTATAATATCATTAGCAGATTCCGCAGCTTCGTTCGCACTAAAACTACAAAAAACTCTAAAAAGGTAGGTTTTACACAAACTTTCATCCCCTATTTTACCCCCTTATGGGATGTATTTCAAAAATGCTAAAACACTTAATTATTTAATTGCATTTAAGAGCTTAAGATTATAAAGCTTAATATTATAAATAAATAAATACTAAGTTTCAAGTACATCTGACCAATTTTTTTTTGGTTGTATTATAACGTTCTTTCCCATAGGAATGAGATAATCTCCCGCGGTAATCTATGTCACTCTCCAGCCCTCCAACTATATTCACACAAAAAATCACACCAATCAGTCACCCTATTTCGACGTAAATGAAGGACAAACAAACAAACAAAAACACTCATATAGTATACTCGTAATTAAGTATGGATTTCTCCTTTCTAATATGCTAAGGTTTTTAATTATTATATATTTTATTTTTTAATCATAAGTCTTATGCATAATCAAACAACTAAAAGGTACTCTTACTGAAGAAAAAAAATATTTACTGAAATATTAAATTTTTATTAAAAATTATTATATAAAATTAATAAAAATAAAACATTTTTTTCTTTAAATATTTTGGCAAACAAGCCCAAACGAAATCCAGATCGTGACCTTTGAGAGAGCACAGACTATCTAAAATCGCGGGGTCGTTGAACCGTAGAAATGTGCTGCCAAAACTCTCCATTCATAAAAATGGTATCATGGACCACAGTGTAGAAACAATAGAAGAGACATGAACAAACATTTTTACTTTATAATGTTAGGTAATTTAATTGATATTTTAGTATGTATTTCAATTTAAAATGTTATTAAAACATTTTATACTATATAATCGACGATCGACTATATAAAAACGACGACACGTTTGGCTCAGTTTGTAGTGACACTTGCTGTGTTAGTGACCCTACTTGCTGTGTCAGCGGTCGCGGGTTCGAGTCCCGCCGGGGGCATTCATTTGTGTGATGAGCACGAATGTGTGTACTCTAGTCATGGGTGTTCATATTTATAAATATATATTAAATATATATTTAAAGTTTTATATATGTGTAGTGTGTCAACTATCTAGTATCCATAACACAAGCCTCGTAGCTTACCATGGAACTAGATGGTGATGTGTGTTAAAGTCCCAATATATTTATAATATTATACGATGTAGATTTTTTTTTGGACGATAATCTCTCGAGCTATTAGTAATATTTAAAGATATTTTTTTAAATTTTATATTTATTAAGAATGGTTATAAAATCTATAAAATTACTCGATAAGATCCTTAGGAGCGGAGCAATCTATACCTACAAATAAATACATTAAAAGTGTCTGTTTGTAATGGCAACGTAACAACTTTGTATTTAGTACAAAGTTGTTATGTTGCATAAGAAATTATACTATAAGGTAAATATACGAAAAAAAAATTGTTTTCTGTTTGTTGATTTTGATGGGACTTTCACTGGCAGATAGCTGATGTCATTAAGAGTAACTTACGCTACTTTTATTTAAAAAAAAATTACAGTACGTAACAAAAGACGCACCCGAGCGAAGCCATGGTAAGTCGCTAGTACATAAATAAACATGCAAGGGGAGTCGAAAGTAAAAGCTAGTTAATAATGTGTGTCAATTAAAATAAAACTATCTTTCCGGATTATTTCGTGGATTTATGACGATTTATTACGCTCTCCCGTGACCATGATTGCTGTAAAGCATCCGAAACGTCGGAAACCAAAAATCAAAGTAAATCTGCGGAAAATATTAGAAGCAGTATATTTTTAATATAAGCAGAGAACACAGACAGTTTGCTCATAATAAATAACTTGCAACTCTACTTGCGCTCCATTAGTATCGAATTTCATTTAAATTTATTTAGCATTAATTTGTTATATATGAATTATTAATGTAAGTTATTCTTATAGCTTTACCATTATCAATATATATTCAAGCTACGTGAATTGTTAACGCTTATACCTTTTTCGGTTGTTTTTTGTGAGGAATGTTGGAAAATGATAATATTCTATCATCCATTTTCACGTCAAAAATGTTATAGGTGTACATTCAAAGACGTATAGTCTATGATATGTATATATATGTATGTATGTATGTAGGTACATCTATACCATCTCAGTGAGATATATCCAAAGCGAGAATTATCCGTGATCATATATGATACTAGCGACTCACCTTTGCTTCGCTTGGCTTCGTGCCCAGATACGTTTTAATGGTTAGTATAGATTTCTAAGAGATGAGATATTTTCCCGCAGGCAAAAATATCCTAAATGTCGAGCAAGATAACCAGCTATCATCATACCAAATTTCATCAAAATCTGTCCAGTGGTTTTCTCGTGATGCGTTCCCAGACAAACAGTCAAAAAATTCTAAAAACTATACATTCGGTCTCTGTATCGATAATAATGACTATTTCAATAAGATTTTCCAAAAAATATTAAATGTACAGATTCGACTCACTTAGAATTTTATTATATGTATTGTAAGAAGATCGAATCTAGGCAATTCTAACCTAAACATCTTTTATTACCAAGCTCTTTATATCATTTCTATTATAATCACTAAATGAACGAGTACATTGAGGTTATTAGAACGGATTCGGAGATAAGTCCGCTGACTTCATCGGCTAGAATTGTGAAGGTCCCTACATGGACACGACAAAAAGCTTACAAATAAACGATGTCCATATTAGAATATAACGAAGCTTTGTACTCATATGCAAATATATAGGCGTAATCTTTCGCATATAGAATATTATCTTTTACTGTACGTACGTGTCTTAAACGAGCTTCCTTTTAAACAGCTTCTGTCACTTTGTCTACTGGACGTATGGTAATAAGCCATTAGTAAATAAATAATTAATAAATAAATATGTTGGGACGTTAACACACAGCGCCATCTAGTTCTATGGTAAGCTACGAGGCTTGTGTTATGGATACCAGATAGTTGATACACTACACATATATAACTTTAAATACATACATATTATAAATATAAATATGCCCCCAGCGGGACTCGAACCCGCGACCGCTGGCACAGCAAGTAGGGTCACTACAAACTGAGCCAAACGTGTCGTCAAAATAGTTGTTACATTAAAGA